TTGGGGCTGGGTGATCCCTAAGCTCCATCCCAAATCCTTAACATACTATCATACTATGCAGTGCCTCTCTGAAAAGCACAGCTCAAGGTCTGCATTTGCCAGAAGTCACTCTCCTTGCTGTGCAGATGCAGCAAACAAGGCACTGAGCCTTTGAACTGTGCAAGGTCACTCACTGCCTGCACTAAAAAAGGAAGCCACGAGCCCCTGCTACAATCACACGGTCACGTGGCAGTTTTCTATTTAAAACCCTTATTTAGAGCTATTTATAAAGCTATTTATAAATCAGGCCTTTTGTACAGCCTTAATAGCTGCTCCTTGACCGCTGCTCGTCCCCACCCACAGCAGCACTGAGGCACATCAGTCACTTGTGACAAACATGACATTCCTGCATGAGGCAAGCACAGACACTCCAAATTCAGGCTCTCTGCCCCGAGCCAAGGCAAGCATCACCTCTCACAGCCACGTCCACTCTGGAGGTTGAAGAATCCAGGCTCACAGGCACTGCAGTCCCTCCCGGTGACGTGAGACAGGCACTCACACTGCCCAGTCACTTGATTGCAGCTCGTCTGCTGATTCACCGTGCCGTAGGGATTGCAGTGACAAGCTGCAAAAAGAAAAGGGATGGAGAGACATGCACAAAGTTAGAAGCCTCTCGTGGTGTTGGTACCCACCAGACCCTAAACAGTGCAGCACTGTACAATGCTTTTGCTTTGATGGCAGCAAGTGCCCACAAACCCAAGGACTTTAGCAAGCCTGAACCACCAAACCAGGTGTGCTGGTTTTGGCTGGGGCAGAGCTAACTTTCTTCACAGTGGGTAGTACAGGGCTATGTTTTGGATTTGGGCAGAACACAGGGTGATGATATGGACATGTGATTGCTGTTGCTAAGCAGAGCTCACACAGAGCCAAGGCCTTTGCTGTTTTCTGCACTAGCAAGAAGTTGGGTGTGCATGGGAGGCTGGGAGAAAACATAGCAGGGACAGGTGACCCAAACTGACATTCCATACCATATGACATTGTGCTCAGTATATAAAGCAAGGGGAAGAAGGAAAGGGAGGGACATTTGGAAGTGAGGGAGTTTGTCTTCCCAAGTAACCACTATGTGCTGGGGCCCTGATCTCCTGGAGGTGTTGAACACCTCCTGCCCACGGGGAACAGGGAATTAAATCCTTGTTTTGCTTTGCTTGTGTGTTTGGCTTTTGCTTTCTCTATTAAACTGTCATTATCGCAGCCTGAGTTTTCTAGATTTTACCCTTCTGATTCTCTTCCACCCCACTGGTGGGGGTGAGCGAGTGGCTGAGTGGGGCTTGGCTGCTGCTGGTGTTAAACCACAACACCAGGGTCAAGACACACATTGCTGCTGACTGGCACAAGCCTGACATGGTGTCCTAAACAACACCACCAGAGGAAACAGCAGCTCTT